GGTTTGCTGTCTGTCGCTGGTTGATGCCAAGCACCTAGAGCAGTGCCAGTGCCGTCAGGGTTTGGGAAGCCGCCTGGGCAAGGCAGTAGGACAGCAGTCTGTCTTTTTTTGTTGCTCTGTTGTTTTTAACTCTGAGGTGTGATCAGCTAATGCACGCTCAGACTGCTGTTCAGTCCTCACATTTCTAATCTATTTGAGTGGACTGCTCGCTAGAGGAAGATGAAATTAAACATAAAATTGGAAGAAATATATTACCGATACACATTATGTGTATAGTATACTTGCCTAAAGAGATCGATCTTTCTGTCAGTTCTTTACTCAATACTGATTTTACTTTAGCTGTAGCATTGTATGTGATACAGTGTAAATTCTCAAAAACGTCTGTTTGCTCCTTGCTTTCTTTGGTTTCTGATGCTTGGTGTCCCTTACTAATTTATTCTCCCTTGCTTTTTTTTTTGTTTTTCTTCTTTCCGCAGCCGAAGAATGCTTTGCTGATTCTGACCTGAACTTTCTTATTCCCATCGCGGTGGGCATGGCACTTGGCTTCCTTATCATTCTTGTCTTTATATCTTATATCATTGGAAGAAGAAAAAGTCGTACTGGCTATCAGTCTGTATAATCTTCATTCCATATCTGTTGCACCTTCCCTGTTCTTCTCCTTTTCCCAGACTCCCTGATCTGCCCCTTTAAAAAGAATAAAAACAAATGAATTCACAGTTCCTTTATTTAAAAAAAATTTAAAAAGCACGGCAGAATAACGTGCCGTGAGTCTGATGATGAGTTGCAGAAGCTGCTGTATGATTTCGGAGAAGTAAGTGTTCTGAGGACCATAGGATTGGGTAGGGTTGATGTGTGTCCGCGTGAGAAATGTGATTATTTTGAGCAAAGAAGACATCCACGAAACTTTACGTCTGTTGTTTAATCTTTTTATACAAGAAAATTTCTAGTTGCATACTGCTTAGCTGGGATAATGCTAAAGCTAAAACTGTAATTAAAGGTGTGAATGCTGTGTCGAAAGGGACTGTACATGCTATGAGAAAATGAATACCAAGCTCTTAACAGACTTCTGTTGGGAACTTGGCATACGGCCGTTGTCTTTTTTCATTAGCAGCTTGTTCTTGTGAATCAGTCTGAATTTCCTGTTCTTTCTGAATGTAAAGGTAGTACCTGATCTCACTAATAAACTAACTAATATGAGAAGAACGTCTGATTCTTCTCGTAAATTAACATGTTTAACCAGTATGGAGAAGTTGACTGCTAATGTGTGTTAAATAGCTTTGCACTAGCATGGTGTCTTTAGTGTCGTTATTCACTAAGGTGAGGCTCGGTCCTGGAGAACTTTCACTGCTCGGAAAAGCCAACAGTCTGCTGAAGGAAATGTGTCCTGCGCTATTTTGTTTGACTGTGTTTTCCCTTTCGTTCTGAGCTCAGTCGTAAAATGAGGGCAAGAGGCTGGAATTTCACTGGTTGCAGTTTCTCTCAGCTTTGATTCTGTGCACATGAAAGAAACTACACGGTGTTTCAGCCCTGGTCCCTGGGAGGCTCGAGAGTATTTTGAGAGCTCTCAAAGACTGACTAAGAACACAGATCATTCAGAGATGCCTGCAGCTCCTTTGGACAGCTTTCACGGGTTAACGGGATCACTGAAAAGCTGTGATCTAGGAATGCAAGTGAAGATATAAAACCAGTCTGTTTGGATGGAGTTAATCTGCTTTTAACTTCCTAATTATTGCTCGCTCAAACAAAAATGTTGAGTAGTGTAAGAGCACAAAATTTCCAGTATGAGTAATGCCGATCATAAAGCAGAAACTAATATATATATATAGAGAGAGAGAGAGAGAAGAAAGTGACTTCCAAAGGAGTAAGAGCATCTGACTCGTTTGAAGATGCTTGCTTTGTTATTCATGGCATGCCTTCTGCAATTCTATGTTCCCCATCTAAACTGTACCAAAATAGAAGCTGGTCATGTGTGGTTGTGTTCTGCTTCATTCCCACCAGGTTCATGTTGACAGGATGAAAGCAGCCTCTTGCTCTTTCAGCCTCTTTGGTCCATCTTGGTAACAGCCTTTTGCAGCTAGTGAGCCCTGGTTACCGACGGTGGGACAGCTCAAGAGCTGCCAGGTCTGCAGAGAGCTACTGATGGCACACCATGCTTCCGACCTCTGCAGCAAGGGTTTACTAAAGCTACTTCAATGTTTGATCTCTTTGTGCATTGAGCCTGTATCCATGTCGCAGTCTGATGTTGAAGTAACTCACAATAGCTATATATTCAGGGAAGGGAGATCTCTAAAGAGTTAGTTCTGATGTTTGAGAAATACCTGTATGTTCAATTATTCTTGTCCTCACTGTAACCAAAGATAAGCTTTACCTGAATCTGACAAAACTGATTTTTGTACCACAAATGGGCCCTTGAACCAAGTTGTCTTTTTTTAGGGGTGTAATTTAACGCTGCTGAGCTGGACTGTGTGCTTTGGTTTTGGTTCTCTTTGTCTTTTCTGTTGTACCTTTGCTCTCGCAGTACTTGATTTCCTTGCCTGAACGGTGAATTATTTTGCGACTGGCAATTTCTGAGTAACATCTGCTCGTCAGAGTGCGTTGCTTCTCCGCTGCCAGCAGATGGGTTCCATCTACGCTAGGTTATGTTAGTAAAATGTGGCAATTTCCTAGATGCACATGTATATATTTTATATATACATAGAAATTATTATTTTGGGCTTCAACAGAAGTCAGAAATTGAGCCAGCACTTTAAAGTGGTTGTAGCATGAAGAGTGATGTATACAATTCTCCAGATCTTTAAATGACTGTACAAATATGCCGAAAGCAGAGTATGTGTGTGGAAAATAAAGTTAACTACAGTGTTTATAAAGCTTTGTTTTAGTGGAAGTAGACACGCATGCCATTTCTGAGAGCTTTTCCAATGGGATTGCCAACGTGCCTGAATCTGGATGTGGGTGGGGAAACAGAAACTTTTGCTTCCAAGCTGTTCACGCATTTACGTCCCAATTAGTTGATCTTTCTGTGTTGACTGGATCAAAACATGGGTCCAGTGTCTGCTAAAGGACCAGCTGCTAGATGAATCCTTCCAAAAGGCGGCTAGAGAATAGATATAAATGAAGTTTTGTCCTGTTGCTAGCTGGAGAGCTGTTAATTTCACAGCCTGAAGCATGGAGGGTTTGGTTTCCTTTCAGGATCCTACAGAAATATAAATTTTTTAAAACAGCTAAAGCAATTGGCAGGTGAGGAAACATTTGTGGGTTTAACTGATTTCTGATGTTCAAGGAAGAGCCCCTGCCATGGCAGCATCTTCCGTGGCAGAAGCTGGTTTGTGTTGATCAGAACATCCCCTTTCAGATAAGCGGTGCAGGCAGAACGATCGTGTTGCCCTGGCTCGGTCAGTGTCGTATGAATAACTGCATCCGAGCAAAATCAGTTCCGAAACTACCTCTGGTTCAGGTTTTTAACAGTTCTTAATAAATAGCTTTTGCCCAATGTTTTTTTGTGATACTTACCGTATAGTGAGTCTTATTTTACTGGACTTCTGAACTCTTTGGCCCTAGAAGGTTAATCAAGTGCTCAGAATTCAAGGATTATGTTACATGCTGCTTTGAAATTCGGTCCCCAGGTGCCCAGCACAGGGAGCTAAATTCACAAGCTGCACCTCTTACACCAGTGTTGTAAGAATGGTACCACAGAGTTAATTTTGCTGTAGTCACTTTATTCTTAATACAAAAAGTGACTTTTTAGAGATTTATTATAGATCAGGAAACGATGGCAGATGAAGTACCTGGACCAGGATGTAGGACAAACATACCATAATGCTTTTGTTCAGCCAGTAATTTTAGTAAGTGTGCTTTCCACCTAGTGCATTATCCTGAGGTGTCCTGTCCTGCTGTGTGCTCATAGCTCGTAACGTGCCGAGCGAGGTTCGTCTCTGTCACACACGAAGGCTGTGTGCTCGGGAGGGTCTGGCTGCCGCGCAGCAGGGGTTGCTGAGGGTAGCAGCACCCCGCTCTGACGAGGGCGAGCATGCTTCGTTGGTATTTAAGGATGATAAATTGATGACTGCGCTAATACCAGCATTGACCCCTTAACAATAGAAGGACTAAGCATCTCCCTGCAGTTTTCTGCAGAATTATGGCCGTGACCTCTCTGGAACAGAGCTGAAATCTTTGGGGGGGGTCTAACGCATTTCACTGGCACTTCTGTGCCGGAGCAGGGGAAGGAGGAGCTGCCAACCTGCGAACCATGATGGGGAGAAGAGCTCCTTTCACCTGTCCTTGCCTAATAGACTTGATGAGGACTCGTGGGGCAGAGAGAAGTATTGGAGGGAGGAGGAGGGAGAAATGCATTAATCTTCCCACTTCAGAAAGGAACGGTCAGAAAGGTTCAAGGGCAAGTGATTTTTCTATGTGGCCTTTGCTCCAACACCTTGGGTGTGCTGAACAAGCTGTGTAAAATGCTGCAGTCGAGATGCTCCTGGTGCTGAAGATCCCAGGAGGCATTTTGAGATCTGCCATTTTCACTTTTTAACTGTGTCATTGCAGGCATAATCCAGAACTTTTGCTGTTTATTATTTTAACAAGAATAGTGCTAATAAACTACCCTTGTGTTAGCTTTTGCCTGAGAAATGCACATAAAACTCTGGTAAAGTTTAAAATTTAAGCCAGGAAAAACACATTCCACAGGAGTCACTCGTAAAAGACCTTATGAAAATAGTGTTCAGATACCAGAGGGTTTTTTAATCAAAACTGAAATGCTTTTTCAGGTTCTCTGCCCAGGAGATAACTTTTAATTTTTACTAATAATGGTTTATATCAGATGATGAAAAATGTGATTCCATGCTCCACTGCATCTCATTTGCTTCCTAGCTATGAACAAAAATAAATTAACAAGAATCTCCACGTGCCTGTTTTTCCTAGCAGAAAAGATGCTGGCTTTATGCTTTAAAAAGGAAAAAGCCTCTGATTGCCTTAACCTAGGTGCCCAGTGTTTGCAGTGTCTATTTCCCAATGCTGAGTGCGAAGATGATTCGGCCCAGGAAGCGGTCGCTGTTAACATTGTTGATAATACCTTTCCCGTTCAGACTGCACTGAATAGGGACCAAATAATTCTTCTTCACATCTGTAAAGTGCATGGCCACCAGCGGGGACGTATAGTTGACCTGAAACGAAAGGAGATTGAAGTGGATTTTTTGAGGGAGCAGAAAAGCAGGCGGTGCTTTCATGTAAAAATCTTTAGTAGTCGGTTCACGGCTCCCGGGCGTTTGAGTGCGTTTCCCTGATGTCTGCCGTGGTCCCTTGGGATGCTGAAGCTGCGCCTTTCTGTGCCTGTACCTCAGAGGGACGGGAGTTTTGCACAGCGTCATGCCTCTTGGGTTGATTAGCCAGGACAAGTAACATTGGATAATGGGACTCTCAAATACTTTCTGCTGTTCTGAAAACTGACCTGTGGCTTGTAATAAGAAATCCGTGGTGTTCCTCGGTTCTCTGTGCTTGAAGGACACACAGAGCTGGCGTCTGCGGCTGTTACTCATCCTCAGCCAGCAGCAGTACGACAGTAGGAGCCTAGAGCCTCACCTTCCATTTCAGCTTTTGTTGTGAAGGTGTGTTAACTCCTAACGCTGTACAGCCCAGCACAGACCAGAGCGGTGCTGGCCATGTGCTCAGAAATAGCCACTGATGTTGGACCACTCTGTTGCGAGCCACCCAGCCTGAAGTGGTTCTGTCATAGCTTTGATAGAAGCCCCATCCTTTTCCTTTTGTGTCACCTAACCCCTGGCTTCCCAACCGCCCTGGGAAAATGCTGGTGTTGAGACCTGCTCTGGGAGTTAACAAAGCCAGTCTTAGTCTCCAGCTGACAAATGTAATCATTCCCATTGCTGGCAGGGGGGAACCGGAGTCCCCAAGGACTTCCCACAGTTTGTCAGAGGCAGAAATAGAGCGCTGTAATCCCAGTGCCCGTGGCCTCCCTCCTGCCTGCCTCTGCCCAAAATAACCAGAAAGCACATCTGTACTCTGTGCAGCAGCTCCCACCCTCTACTTCCCAAGGAGGCGTAACAAAGATGCCAGGGTCCTTACTTACGTGAGTGATCTTGCCGTAGTAGGGATAATACATGAGATCAAACGTCCCATTTCCAGGGTAGAAGTCCACCGATCGGAGATCGCTCTCGTTGCCTTTCTGTGATTGGGAAAATAAATAAAGGTACATGCATAGCTATTGGGACACAAAATACAGGTCCTTTCAGAGCAGGGTGAAGGATACAGACAGCTCTTGCAAATCCACGTCAGGGCTCAGCCGTGCCTGCCTGCCTGCACGCAGCGTGTTTGCTGTGAGAGCCAGCTGCTGCTGCTGTGAGCCGGAGCAGAACGGTGCTAGGAAGGCACAGGCGAGGGTTACAGAATTTGCTGCCCGTGGACCCCTCCCGGCGCTTGCCTGCTGCTGCGTTGCTCTTGAAGGGTGTGATCCGGCTGCTGCCCGGGCAATGGGAGCCCTTCCTTCACCCTGTCGCTGCTGGCTTGCAGGGTGCTGCCCAGGACCAAGGGTCCTTTGGAGCGGGTGGAGATGGACGTGAGCCGCTCCTACCTCTCCCCTGCCAGCTCCAGGCTCTAGCTGCCACCCAGGCACTCAGCCCTGTGGGCCTGCCCTCCGGGGACAGACATTGGTGGGGTCTATCAGAGGGAGACATTCGGTCACCTGCGCACCACGCTGTCGAGCACCAAGGAAAGCAGTACCTGCACTTTGCAGTCCACGCTCACGGGGACCCCAGCACCAGGGCGATAGCCTATGATCTGCAAAAACGAGAGACATCCACGCTTGTACGAAACGCAGTGCCAAGCGCGTGCTGCCTGCCTTCTCCAGGGCTTAAGCTCATGTACGTGCCAGGAGTTACGTGCCCCTAGGAGCAGGGTCTGCCACCCTGCGCAGTGCAGCTTGCCTGTGCGTGACAGCGGAGGCAGAGCAGAGCATCCCCAGAGCCCAGACTCCCTGGACCAATACAGCCACTTCCCCACACAGCTCACATCCCCCCTACGTTCATTTGCCCAGCAGCGTGCGCTGAGCCACCATGCCATTGGAAGATTTCAAATAAACTCAATTCTACGAAAATTCCCACTAAAAAGAGACGGGGGTCTGAGGTGTAGCCCTAAAGCTCAGTTCCTCCCACGCAGGGGCCTGGCACAAGAGCTTCCAAGCACTCAGGCCTCAGCAAAGCAAACCGAGCAAGTTTTGTAGTGTTTCTTTTTCATGTTTTCTAGCTGGTATGAACCAGCAAATTTTGGGATTCTAGTTCCCTTGTTCCCTGGGCCTGAGAAGTGGAGGAGTTTCGGTCCCTGCGTGGTCTTTGTCACACTGAGATGCACTGAAGGAAGGAATTCAGGTGACCAGCTTTCTCTGTACCCTGTTCTTTTTCTGTCCGCGTGTCATCTGCAGCAGGATGCAGGGCTGGCCTTTGGAGTAGCCAAACGTTGGGTCCTCAATGCCGGAGCAGTTCTGCAGCAGTGAGCGCTTGAACTGGCAGGCCTTCTTCTCCTCGCTTTCATTGCCCCCTTGGATGAAGTACTGTCCTGAGACGCACTCAATATTCCTCTCCTCTTGAACTTTGTCGTCATAAGCTGGTGGGGACAAAGAGACTTGTTAACGTTTCTCAAGACCTGTGCAGACCCACGCTCTCAGAGTAGATCCGCATGTCGAAGGAGTTAGAAAGTCCCGCCTGGAAAGGCAAGGCTCCCTCCCCCAGCAGGTCCTGTGACCACCTTATGACCCTCCCTTTCTAGAGGGGGTCGTGAGATGCCGAGAACTGATCTGCACCCCAGGAGAAGACCCGCGCGCTGTATGCCTGTGTGCATGGACGACAGCAACTTGCCAGCGTCACTCCTGGGATGCCCAGGAGCTTACCTGCGAGGAAGTGGTGCATGCTGTCCACGTAGGGCTGCCACGTGCTGGGCTGAGAGACGTTGAAGGCAATGGTGAACCCATTCAAGTACGGTCTGATCATCACTCCTGGAGAAGGAAACGGAGCTGGTTGGAGCAGCTGGTGGGCTGGGCACAGGCTTGGGGCACGTGTTGCTGGGGCTGGTTGCACTGCAGCTGGGCTTGGGGCTGGGCACTGGCATGAGAGCGGCAGCACCAGCGTAAACTCTCTCCTCAACCCACTGATTCCTCACCTCCATTTCACACCCAGACAACACCACGCACATCGGAATATCCCGGGAAACATGGGAGACCTGGAGGGTCTCAGCAGCGCGGCAGGGAAGAGCTGGGCTTGGGGCTGTGCACGGAGGCTGAGGGGTCTCCCATGCTCCCAGCCAGCTCCGGGCAGGGAGCAGGGCGAGGGGGCCTCGTGTTCCCCACTGATACGAAAACTCAGGGAAAATGCTGGTTCTGTTATAGGGAAAGGAGTTTTTGAGCGTTGTCTTGCTGGGATAGTAATTCATGAAAGCTACTCCTGATTTGCATTTTATTTTGAAGATAAGAGGTATAAAGGGGCAGCAACTGAAAGGAATGGGCATCACCTATGCAATGCCTAAACTTGCTCACTTACTGTAAGAATAATTAGCATAATAATTAGCATAATTAGAATAACAATTAGCATAATTCGAATGAACACTTCACGTGGGGCTATTTAAGATGCCTGATCCCCTGCAGCAGGGTCAGTGCCCCGAGGTCAGTGATAGCACCCTGTGTCACGGAGGGCTGGCTGACCGTAGTGGCGTACGGCTCCAGCAGGGCTTTGCCCGAGGTCCCCACCACGCCGTTTCGGTAGAACTTTGCTGTGCGAGTGCCAGCAGCGGTGCCTGAGGCTGGGTGGCCGGGTACGTACCTGGGGGAAACACACGGTCCCGGTACGTGGGTGTGTAGGGGCTCAGCGTGAGCAGCATCACGTACATGCAAAAGGCAAACATTCCTGCCAGGCACGTGTAGAAAACGAAGTAAAAGAGCAAGATCAAGCCTGCAAGAGAGAGAGGACACGCCGCCGTTAATGCGACCGGAGCCCGTCCCACTGGCCCCCCGGGGACCCCCAGCCACGCCCAGCAGGGCAGCCTCTGCAGCTCTGAGGCCAGCGTGGAGGTGGGAGCATGCAGACCCTGGCATTTTGGGGTGCAGGACTCTCTGCCAGACTCTCTCCCTGCCCAGCCCCAGGGCCAGGGCAGCTGCCGCTTGGCTCTGTACCCTGTCTGCGGCCTGGCCCTTCCCAGAGCTGGGTCAGGGCCACGTCTGTATGTCCACCTGCCTCGTCTCTCTCCGACAGACTGACCCGACCTTGGCTCTTGCCCTTCCCACCCCTCCTGGCATGGTAACATGTGAGGGTACCCAGTGCCTCCAGCACGTCCAAATTCCTGGCGAGGGCTGCGGGGCGATGTTCCTGCCCCAACTCCTGTCACCTGCGTGGCAGGGACGTGGCACCGGGAATGAAGCGAGCGGCATCGCTCGGGGCCAGCGGCACCGCTGGCTGCCTCATGGCCCGGACATCCAGGGAGCCGGTTTGTTTTTCCTCCGGACCAGGCTGATGGCTGAGGATGTCTCAAGAGGCCATGGCCTATGAGTAACACCCGGCGGCTCAGAAAGTAAAGCAAAGCCAAAACCCAAACATTTCCCAGGAGAAACGTGCCGGCAGCTCGGAGGGAGCCCTGGGAACGCAGCTGTGTGCTCGGGGCTGTGGTGCTGGGAACCACTGCGGGGCCGTGTCCTGCTGTGGGCTGAGCCAGGGCGGA